GTTGGCACTCTTGAGCAGACACTGGCACATGACAGATTCCTTAACGGCTGATGCTGTGCTTAATTTGAGACATTCGACATCTTATAAGTAAGTAGGATATCTGTATCTGAGTTATATTTCACATGGAAGGGAATTTTAAAAAAAAGGCAGACTTCTACTTCTAGTCAAGATGAGGTAGATTACAATAGACTAACTTTTAGGCTTCTATGCTCTGAAGAAAGGAAGAAAGAAAGAAAGAAAGAAAGAAAGAAAGAAAGAAAGAAAGGAAGGAAGGAAGGAAGGAAGGAAGGAAGGAAGGAAGGAAGGAGAAGAGAAGGAGGGAGGGAGGGAGGGAGGGAGGGAAGGAGGGAGGGAGGGAGGAAAGCCACAGCTGGAGAAATGACTCAGCAGTACTGGATGCTCTTCCAGAGGGCCCAGATTTTGATAGGCAACACCCATGTAGCATCTGCAACTCTAGTCCTGGGATCCAGTGCCCTCTATGACTTCCAAAGGCACTTCACACACACGGTACAGACATGTTTGCAGGCAACACATTTGTACTCATAAAACAAAAACAATAAAAGGGAAAAGTTGTAAAAGACAAAAGACAGAAGTCAAGAAAAATCATAAAATCTGAATAAAACTGTTCAAAAACCTCCTGGGAAGCATGGAATTACTAAATCATAAATGCCTGGGTTCTAAGATTATGGAGGAGGGATCTTAAGAAACCAGAAGTCTACGTCTTCTTTCATCTTAAAGTCATTTTTAGATTGTTGATCTGTGGGAGAGTGGGGACCAGAGCAAAATCGAAGGGCACTAAAGACAGAAGAGGATGTAGAGGGGAGAGGAACATTGCTCAAACGCTCACCCTGGCAACCTATTGAGACAGTTTCTGAACTCTGAACTGCATAGGCTGGAAGGTTAGGATGCTAAGCAGAAAAGTCTCTGGCTCAGATTCAAATTTTCTTTGAATTTGAACCTTCATTTCTTTGAGAAGAATGACATTTGGGGACTGTCTAGATATAAAATATACAAGGATCAGATCTGAGAAACTGCTGATGGGGACAGAGCAGAGAACACTGCAAGCATCACAATAGGAAACCCTTTGATTTCTCCTTCTACTTAATCTATCTGCCCACCAGCCCCGCTTAGTCTTTCTCTGCCTAGCTATTGGCTGTTCAGCTCTTTATTAGACCAATCAGGTGCCTTAGGCAGGCAAGGTGAAACAAACGCAACACATCTTTACATAGTTAAATACACATCCTTCCATCATTAAACAAAGGCAGCGGAAACAAAAGTAACACGCCTTTACACAGTTAAAGTAATATTCCACAGCATAAAGAAATGTCACACATCTTTGCCTAGTTAAAATAATATTGCACAACACTCCTCTGCCTAGTAAAGTGTGAGCCCCTGTGCAGGAAGCCAGCACCACCCAGGGCCTTTATAATCGGTCACATGCAGCATTCAGAATTCAATAAAATGCCAAGAGTGGACCAAACAACCAGAAAAACAAAGGTGTTTTTAAAAAACAAAAAAGCCAGAAAGCCACAAAAACCAAAAGCCATGGCATTATCAAACAAGAACTTTCAAGTAACTGTTTTCATTGATCCAAGAAAAACATGGAGGAAACAGAAGAATTCCTCAGAGAACTAGACCCAGAACTAAAGAAAAAAAAATGAAGCGGCTAGAGACACAACACAGTGGTTAAGCAGACCTGAGTTGGGCTCCCAGCACCCACATCAGGTGGTTCACAACTGCCCATAATTCCAGCTCCAGATCTGACCCTCTCCTCTGGCCACAAAGAGGCCTAAATAAAAATAAATCTTTAAAAACCGAATTAAGTTGGGATGAACTCGGGCTAGAAGTGCCTGCCTGGCACATGTGCGGCTCTGGGTTCAATCCTAGCGCTGGGGAGGGAGGTCGGAGGAGAGCAAAGGAGGCGAACAGGAAACAAATGAACTACAAAGTAGACAAAGGAAATAGCTAATCTTGAGCATCTGGGGTGGGAGGCTGGGAGACACGAAAGGAAGGCTAGGACAGATGTGTCAAAGCAGACGCTTTTACCAACCAGATTTACCTGAGTCTCAGGAAGACAGAGGGAAGGGAAAAATCAGGACAGAAACATTACTTAAAAGATGCAAGGTCTGAGAAATTTCTAGAACCCATCAAAGACCTCAGCTGGCAAATTCAGGACGCTCTGCAAATGTCCAGAAGGAAAACAGGGACAGGAATCCTGTACGTACATCACAGAAAAGCCACACACAGTGAAAACGAAGATAAAAATGGCAGTTAAAAGACAAAGGGGAGAGGGGTGACCTTCAGAGCAGCAACCACACAGGGTAGCCTTCATTTTCATCAGAACTAAAAATGAAAAAGGCACACCACAAAATAAGCATTTGGAAAAGATAATGAGCAAACCTGAAATGTCTATGAATTAGTAAGAAAGACTTGAAGCAGAGACCCAATGACTAACAAACATGAAAGGGTGTGCAGTATCACCAGCAAGCAGCAATCGGCACCATCTTACTTAGGGAGGGCTGCTGGAATAAAATGCTGTAGACTGAGCAAAATGATCTATTTTTTTTATTTCAAGTGAAGTATCAAAACCGCGGTGTAAGTAGATTGTCTGGTGAGTGTGTGCTTCCTGGTTCGTGGTCAACCATCTTCTTGCTATCTTTTTACATGACAAGAAGACAGAGAGCTCTATGGCATATCTTTCATAAAAAATGCATGTGCTGGCTAGTTTTATGTCAACTCAACACAAGCTATAGCCACCTGAGAGGAGGGAATCTCCACTGAGAAAATGCCTCCATAGACTGAGCTGTAGGCAAACCTATCTAACATTTTCTTAATTAGTGATTGACATGAAAGGGCCCCGCCCATTGTGGGTGGAGCCATCTCTGGGATGACAGTCCTGAATTCCATAAAAAAGCACACTGAGCAAGCCATGAGGAGCAAACCAGTAAGCTGCACTCCTCCATACCACTGCATCAGTTTCTACCTCCAGGGTGCTGCTCTGCTTGAGCTCCTGCCCTGACATCCTTTGATGATAAGGCACAGAAGTGTAAACTGTACCAGGTTTTTTTCTTTTGGGACACCAACCTGCTCCCAAATCATAGTAAGTAGAGAGTACAATGCAAGCCACTTCTAAGCCTATAGAAACGACAGACATTTGGCTGCCTGGACAGTTAACCCAAGATTCCTCTGCAACATTGGGGTATCCAATCTTCGGCCTACAGGCTTAAACTATCCAGTTGACTCTTATACGACGCAGGAATTTTGAAGGACTGTCCCACCTTATTTTGGCAAAGTTCAGCAGTTGCTTTCCAGACACTGGAGGGAGGGCGGGTAAAACTTTCACTCACTCCTTCTATCCTCAAGAAATGTGAGTCAGAAGTCATGTCTGAAATTACCTATCGCATCCTTTATCATACTATACAAAGACTGAAACCATCTCAAATGCCCATTGGTAGAGTATTGACCATATTATGATTTATCTTAAATGTCAATGTCATAGACTCTGAAGTCAACAAGAAGATACCTCTGGGCAGCTCTGTGAGGGACTCACAGGAGGAATTAGTGGAGGGTAGGACCCTCTTCTACAGTACACAACACCTTACCATGGCAGCCCAGATGCAAAGTCTAAAACAGCAGAGCTCTGGCTCTTCCTTGCCTGCCTTTCCATCTTCCTAGTGAGTGTCTCTATCCATTTTGGCCACCACTGCTGCCATCCTCCACTCCTATCACAAGGAAGCTTCTTCCATCTTCCAATGTGGACTGAGGACAACCTCAGGCCTTCAGCACCAGACTGGGACAACTGAGGCACAAACCTCATAGACTGAACCACTGCTGGTTCTCAGCTTCTCCAGAGTGTAGCTGGCCACTGTTGAACTACCCAAAGTCAATCTAATAAATTCCCTTTGTAACATATATTCATCCTGTCGGTTCTGTTTCTCTAGAGGATCCATAAAAACAAACTCCATGACAATATGGACAAATCTTTAAGACAATACCAAATGAAAGATGCCAAATAGACAGAAATAGTTATAGTCTGCCTCAGTTGGTTAAAAAGTCAGTGAAAATGAAGTTACTGTATTCAGTGACTTGGCCACAGGAGGGAAGCTTCAGTAGTGATCACCAATCACCACCCCATGGTTACCCTTGAGATTCTTGGACGGGAAGGAGTTGTAAGCCAGGAGGGTCTCCCACATGGCTCCTGAGTGCTGATCAGAAAAACTCCAGCCAGAAAGTAACATGTATGTACGTATGTTCACACACACACACACACACACACACACACACACACACACACACACAC